AATTTCATCGATTTCTACTAACTTCGTCTATTTAATTTTCTTTCTACTAACTTCATCTACTTAATTTTTTCTTACTATCGACTTCGTCTGCTTAATTTTCGTATTTTTTTTTCTTACTAAATTAAATAATTAGATCAAAATAAAAGTGATACTAAAAACCATAAAGCCACAACTCCAATTAAACTACGATGACACATTTAATAGTCCAGCAAATCTCAAGATTCGGCAGAAACTAGTTTCCGAATTAAAGAAATTACTCGAGCCAAACTATCGTCCTTCCGTTTCCCAAATCACAAGATGGCTAAGCAGTTTACATAAATCTCAACGTTCTCAAAATAGATTAAGGCAAACTGATAAAATGGCAGCAGATGTTCAGAGAACTCACGCAAATAATCGAGCAAATGAAGTATGTAATATAATTTGATGGTATTTTTTCGCTTTACACTAAAATTGTCTAAATTTTATCAATCAGAAAAAAATACGAAGACTGAGAATCACTAAAAATCTCTATAAAAAAACGATTCCCAAGTTACGTGTTATGAAAAATGATCTCTTTTAAAACTTTTAGCTAATCGTGCGTATCATTCGCCAGAGATCAGTGAGACTGATGATGAAGAAAGTTCCTCTTCGATTATTAATGTATATGATCTCTCATGGAGGTCGGAAGAGGTTATACGTTTTTATCTTATCTGAATTTTTTTTCACCTATTATTAAATTTTTAACTAACAAATTTCGACTTATTTTTGCTATTAATTTAACTAAACTCGTATATATTATGCATTTAGTTTTAGTTAAAATATTTATTGCGAAATGTTCTCGATTCAAAAACAACACAAACAGCGCAGCAAATTCGATCTCGAAATTATGATGACGAAATCCAATGTTATGACCATCAACCTCCTGAAGATGCGCCTGGTTGGGTATATACCGAACAACCCAATGATATATACGATACAGATTTCAATAGGTATATGAGAGAAGATGAAGATGCAGAGGATTTTGACGAAAGAAGCAGTAGTAAGTCAAACTCTATTATCGAGGCTGAAAACTGAAATTCTTCCAAAAAATCGAAAATTGACTTAACACAAACATTTTTTTTTTCTTTATATTATTCTTTTCTTTATATCATTTTTTTATATCACTTTTTTCTGTTGTTTCTTTTTTCTTTTATTTTTTTATTTCTTTTACAATATTTAGCAATACATATTATTATACAAAAATTCTAGCGAAATTTATTTCAAAGTAATAAATCGATTTGTGGTTGAATTATATATGAATTATATCTGAATTTCATTTGATTTAAAAGTTGAATTTTAGTATATTACTGGTTGATTTATATCTGATTATTATCCGAAAGATATTTCCAAATTCTGTCTGAGTGGCAGCCATTCGGAACCCAAACGGAAATATCTTTCAAATAAAAAATTAGACTATTTTAAGATAAAAATCAATCCTAAATCAGATAAAAATCAGACATCTGACTTATGTCCAATTTGGATGATTTTGACCAATGAATATGACCAGAATAACAAGTAAAATCCTTTTCTAAACTTTCTATATCTTTTGTTATATTCCAGCATTTTGAAAGATCGCCTTAATTATTTCATGTTATTGTACACCAAGGACAAAAATAATTTGAATTTATATAATTTAATCCTAAACAAATTGTTAAAAATTTCCAATCAGTACTAAAATAATCTTGAAATCCATATTCTTTTAAATGCTGAAGTTTTTTAAATATTGGATTTAATACTGTTTGTAATATAATATAATTTTTAATGCCAGGATAAAGAGCTATTGTATAATGAAAATTAGGTTTCATTAAAGAATCTTTATCATTTATAATTGCGTAAGTAATCATAACATGTTTAACTTGTCATCCTATATTACGCTTATCACCCGATATATGAAGATGAATAGTTAGATTATTGGAATCTAAAATATCATATTTTATTAAAATAGAAATTAAATATTCCAATGTTTTTATAATACTTCTTTGTCTACTATTTCCAATTGATTCATGTACTATTTGGATTACTTTGGGGTCAGTTATCATTGATGTATTTTAAAAGATTCAGTAGAATAATTATTATCTAATTTGATAATAGAAATTGGAATTTTTTCTTGCATTTCTTTATTAATGATTACCTTTTCTTCTGATATTGCCCATTCTTTAATAAGATTATTAGATAAAGATATGATTGTTCTATAACCATCTTGAGATATTTGTTTTTGATCAATAGCTTTAACTGTAAGAGCATGCTTTAGTTTGATTTCTTTTTTATCTACTTCACTAAAATCAATTTGATAAAAATCTTTTTGAATGCTAACGCTAAATTTTATTGAATTTAAAGTCAATTCATCTTCAGAATTATAACAATAATTACTAAGATCTTCAAAAGCTGATCTAGTACATTTTGCAAGATGTCAGGTCCTTTCATTTTTAGTTTTCTCTGTTATACTTTCATAAGGTTTTAATTTAATTATTCTTTTTTCATGAGCAGTTTTTAGAACTTGAAGTTGGACACTAAATAATAATATACCTGATATTAAAGAATTGTTATCAGGATGAAGAATCTACAAAAAATATTAAAGTTTGAATTTTTATTAACTCTTAAAAACATTCATGTTAAATATTTTATAAATCAATAATTTAATTGTATTTTATTGAAAAAAAAGTATTTATTTTAATAATAAAAATACAAAAAATAATGCTATACTAAAAAAATTCAATTTTAATAAATATATATAAAATGCTTTTTTTAAAAAAAGATATTGATTTAATAAGCTTACCTTTTGTATTTGTGTTGCTTCATTTGTACATGATTGTGTTGTTTCTAACATTTGGTCAAAATTATCACCATAGTATATTCTAAAAACTGGTTTAGAATTTTTGTAATGTATAAAATATTTGACGGTATTTGATTTTTCTCTTTCCCATTTTATTATAACTTCATATTCGTCAAGTAAAGGAAAGCTTTTGGGTCTTTTAGTGAACTTTAAAAGTGTTTTATTAGGATAAAAACCCTCTTTTATAACTGTATAATTGAAGGTTCAACCTTCTTCTTTATATAATATATGTAGTTCGTCAGGATATGAATGAATTTCTGTTGGCAGTTTTCATGGATTAGACATAATGCATTGCAAAAAAATTTAAAACGTCAATTGAAATTAACTGTGTTTAACAATGATTATTTTTATTTATTTAATTATCATTGGTCGGTATTGTTTATCAATTGACTGACGCATTATATCCTGGTTGTTACTAAGATTTTAGGTATGTTGCTGATCTACCGATATGTTTTGGGATCTAGAAAGATAATCAAATAGGCATAAAGGAAAAGTACTCCAATATAGAATCCAGCATCCAGTCAGGTGCAGAAGGCCAGCATCCTCAACATAAAACCAGATATCCAAACAGCTACAGAAGGTTAACAACTCCATTATAGAATTTAGTATGTAAACGACTCAGAAACAAGAAGAAAAGCGTGATATTTAGATTATATAGTGGTAGTTAGGTTAAATAGTAGGTAGTAGTTAGATTATATAGTGGTAAAAAATACAGATAGTAAGAAAGATTTAATAGGATAACTAGAGTATAAAAAAGATATCTGATACGTGAAAATAAATAGATTATATGGTGATAATTAGATTATATTATTTAGATTATATGGTAATAATTAGATTATATTATTTAGATCATATGATGGTACTCAGATTATATAGTGGTATTTAGATCATATAATGGTATTCAGATTATATAGTGGTATTTAGATCATATAATGGTATTTAGATTATATGACGGTAATATAATTTAGGGTAAGTAGAATATCACCATATAATATAATTATATTATATGGTGATATCCCACTGCATTTAATACGTGTTAATTTATATTATACTATATATAATAAGTGAATTAAGAGAAGTTAAAAAGAAAAATCAGAAGAAGGAGGTCTACTATAAGATGATATAACACAAAATTTATTTTATTTATAAAAAGGAGTTCTATCATAAAATAATGTGATATAAAATTTATTTCCATTTTTTTGAAGAGGATCTTATAATAAAATAACATAATACAAATAATGATACAATTTCAAAATTTTGATACAAATTCATGTCTTTATTATAATCTGATCAGAACAGGTAGTTTTAAATAGACTTTTTTTTTTAATGAAAAAAATAAGAAAAAAATTCTAAATTTACGCAAATTTGCAATAATTACATAGTTGTTTTTTCTTCTGCTAGATTATTAAATTATTATGATAAAATAAACATATTTTAAAAAACTAAAGTATTTTAAAAATTATATCATCCAAAAGCTTAAAAATATTTATAAAAAGTATGTGAATACTTTTACATTTAATAAAATGATTTATACCTATAATAAAATACCAAACAAAAAGAAGATTCAGAAAAAAACTCAAAATATCTAATAAGAAGTAAAAATAAGAAATAAGGACTTTATTCTGAATCATATTTTAAATTATTATAAATATCTATTCAATATGATTCAGAAATAAATATATATATAAGTAAGGTAATCAAAAAATTTTTTAATATAAACTCTATGCAGATAATTTTTATATAGTAATATACATAGTCAACATCTAACATTAAAAATTCTATGAAATTATGCAAATAAAAATTCTATCCAATATTAGTAATGCTATATGCCATCTGATAATTAATTATTAAATGGTAATTAATTATAAAAAATTAATTAATTTATAAAATTTAAAATAAACTTTACTATTAATAAAAGATTTTAATTTTTTATTAATTAATATAATTAAATATATATTTAAAAAAGAATAAAATCTGCATAATAACTATTAATTATAACTTTTGATTATTTTATTAATTATTATTTTATATAATTTTACAAATATAATAAAATTCAAAAAAAAAATTTTTTTTAAAATTTATTCAATAAAATTAATTATAATAAAACAAAGTACTAATCTTTAAATACTTTTATTTAATACTTTTTTTTTATAAAGTGTGATAATTTTATAATATACATTATATTAATATAGTATTTAATAAATTTCACAAATAAATATTCAAAAAAACAAAAAAATTTAAGAATTAATATAATTATGAAAAGTTATTACTTAACAAATATTATATTAATCTTGATAAAAATTTAGATATAAATAGTATTAAATCT